CATCATGTCTCATGTCATTTGTTTATATTTCACACTCATAATTGTTTCTTATTGGGTTTCGCACAATAACCCACAGAGCACTCTAATTTATATCAAAACATGATCATTCTCAAAATCAATCACATATCTACACATCACATCTAACAAGAAGCCAAACAGAACAATCAGGAGGCAAAATAGAAAACGTTCATAACGTTCATATGTTGCCTGTTCCTAGAAGCATGTATCAAGCAAGGGATTGGGAGTCAATCCTACTACCCGACAATTATTCTCACACCCCCGAGCGAGGTTTCTCACTCCCCCTTACCTGGATGAGCAAAAGACGAAGCTAGAGCGAAATCTGGTCGATTTTCTTCGGTTGGTTCTCCTTGGTCTCTAGAGAGTGTGTCTAGAAACACTGCCAAAGTGCTCTATTTATAGATTTCAGGAGTGGCCAGAATGGCCCGTTCTAGATCCTTTCATCATGTATTAAACTCTCATCTGGAACGGCCGTTCTAAAACCAGAACGGCCCGTTCTCAACTAGGGTTACAAGCCTTTTTGGTGGTTTGGAACGCCTCATTCCCATCTAGAATCTATAGGCCATTTTAGTAGTTTGGAACGGTCCGTTTCAGTTTGGGAATGGCCCGTTCTGGGCTACTAAATCACACTTGTTTTGGTAGTTTGGAATGGCCCATTCCAATTTGAGAACGGCCCGTTCTGGGCTACTAAGTCACCCTAAAAAATACTAAATTACCCTCATTAAAAAGCATGAAAATTGGGGTGTTACAAACTCCCTATGGTGATATTATCGGGTGTCAGATGAGTCATGTTGAATATGGGTCGTTCAGAGAGGTATGTGTGCTCTCTAGCTACGCCTCTCGATCGGGCATAGGTTGGTTGCCGCCAAGCGTTGTCTTGTACCTGGTACTTTTTTCTTGATGTAGCTAATGGTGATTGATTTGGATGACTCTTGATCTCATTGATGAATATGATTAAGTATGATGATTTGAGCATGTTTAGTATGTTGTAATGAATGAATGTTTCAAATGGATCGGTATTTGCAAATTGTTGTGAATATGTATAATGATAACATGATATTAGATTAAGTATTGTGTGACATGCACATACACATATATTGTATAATAAGTGATGTTATGAATTGTGGTTGATTTAATTACACCTTGTTAATATATAGTTTAATTGTATGTATAAATGATGATGACATTTTGTTATTGTGTGTTTAACTATCCGATCTTATTTTACGCTATGAACTAGAGTGAGATATTTCTCACTTCTCGTTTTCTATGTTGTTGTAGGTGAAAACTCATCATGATGTTGATGATGCTGATAACAGGCCTAGATCATGTATGAGAGTGCTTTGATAAGATGTGATATCGGGACATAGTTAGAATTTGTCATTTATGTTGTTATTCCTATCTTAGGACATGATGTTAGATTTATTTGGTTACATTGTTTTTAGAGTTATTGTTGGATTTAGTGATATGTTTTGTTGTTATGTGATGTCCTCTCTTCTTGACTTGATATTGTTAGGTGATGCTCCTACTTTAAATATAGGAAAGAAAAAGTCTCATAGAAATTTCAAAATATGCTAAATTATATTTTTAGTTCCTTTATTCTTTTTAAGATTCAATTAGTCATTTAATTTTTAAAATATGTTTAATGTTTCATTTCCATCCAAATCGACACTAACAATGTTAATGAAATTAGATGAAAGGATAATATTGAACATTTTTTGAAAATTAGTGGACCAAATTAAACATTTTAAAAATAATAGGACTAAATTGAATTGAAATTTATCTAACATTTTGTCTAAAGAAAATAAAGGAGTTAGCTAATAAAATAAATAATTAAGTAGATAAAAGAAAATTAAAATTTATCTAGACAAAAAAAAATGTTAGATAAGTTTTTTATTCAATTTAGTCAATCTTTTTATGGAATGTTCAACTTGCTACTAGTATTTTTAAATAATTCAATTTGATCCTCTAATTTTTAAGTGATGTTCAATGTTTCCATTCATTTCGATTTTATTAACGTCCTTAGTATTAATTTGGATGAAATAATAATAATGAATATTTTTAAAAAAATTAGATAACTAAATTGAATTGTTTAAAAATAATGAAATCAAATTAGGTCTTAAAATAAATAGAGGGATAAAAAATATAATTTAACTTTCCGAAATAAGTTGTACAGCTTGCACTTACCGGTTAAAAAGTATCGCTTGTGTGTTAAAATTTCTTTTTTTTTTTAATTTGAGTAAAATTAAAAAATATGAATAAAATATTTAAGATTGTAAGATAAATATGAACAATGAATTTTAATAAACTAATAAATTATATCAAATTTACAAAGAATTAAATTTAAAAAGGGGAGAAATTCACTATGACACTATTGAAATAATTAAGATTTGATATAAAAACTAATTTTAAAAGAAATTAAAGATGAGATCTTTTCTATATGTTAGGGATGGTAGTGGAGTCCTGTGGGGGTGGGTTATAGGATACCCGTATCTATCCCTTCAAATAAAAATCTATTTCGTATTTGTTTCATACCCATATGGGTATCATTTAATAGGTACCCACAAATTTTATAAATATCTGTAGATATTCATGAATATTTATAAAATTTTTAAAAATTAAAAAATATTATAAATAACATTAAGCTTATATTTGATGTTAAGTATATTGTAATATTAAAGATAAATAATTAATGTTAATTTTTAAACTTGTAATTAAGGATATTTTTTTGAAATATTAAAATAATATAAAAAAAATATAAGATAAAATATATGAATATTTAAGTAATATTATTTAGCGGGTATCCGCGAGTATGGATACTATCGTACCACCCCCCGTCCTATTTATAAATGGGTAAAAAAATATTCATACCTATTACCTATGTTATTCATTTATTATTCGTGGCGGATTTTATTCACAGATATCCATGAGTAGTGTTAAATGAGGGTCTATTTGAATTAATTTATTTACCAATACTTTAAGAAAAAAAGGTTTAAACATGTTTTTTATTTCTCAAGTATAGTAATTGTGTGATTTTAGTCTTTTTGAGTAATTTTAATCCCTCAAGTATCACAATTGTATTTTGGCTCATCAATTTTTAATTAAATAATTTTAGTCTTTAAAGTACTATAATTGTGTGATTTTTAATATCTCAAATATTGCAATTATACAAATTTTCACTTATTTAAGTTACATATATTAGTAATTTTAGTAATACTAAATATATATCATTTAATTCTTGAATAATTTAAATAGGTAAAAAAAATTATAATTGCGATACTTGAAAAATTAAAATTGTACAATTGTAATACTTAAAAGACTAAAAAATTTTAATCAAATTTTTGGAACCAAAATTTTACAATTATAATAATTAAAATTAAAATTGTTCGATTAAAACCTAAGAAACTAAAACCGCACAACCATAATACTAGAAAGATTAAAAAAAACACACACACACACAATTAAGTCGATTAATAAAACAAGTTTGTTGATTAGTTATTATATTAGCGTATCAAAATAATATTTTTAACTTATTTCAAATGGACCCTAATTCTATTTAAGTTTCTTTATATTTGTAAAAATTGTAAAGAGAACAACATGGTTCAAACTTAGCACTCAATTCGAACTTTGGATCAACACTTCTCGTAACATTTGACTGAAAATAATAATAATTTTAACTTATTGAAAAATAATCAATAATATAATTATGTTGAAAATATAAAAAAATTATTAAATAATAAAAATATTAAAAAATGACAATAATATAAAATTTTACTATTCATAGCTTATCCACAACGGCAATAAGTGGAATTTCTAGCACCTGGTGGACAAGAAAGAAATATGCAGTGGTAGACGGGTAGGTAACTCAAATACCCAACTCTTTACAAAGATCAAATTTCAAAACAATCATCCTATAGTCCTCTATTGTATAAATTGTCAATATACATTGTAGCTATTTCTTTTAAATTAAAGCTATTTTTTATTCATTTTTTTACATCACCTTTTATAATTATTTTTTGCAGTATTATTTATCCACATTTTTACTTATCTTTTCTTTTTAGTTCATTACTATAAAATATGTTGTACGAATTTGTTATCAAAACAATAATTGTATTTGTATACGGAAATTTTACAATAATTTTTAAAAAAGAATTCAGAAAAGTATAAAATGATTAATATGATAGAGAGAAATAAAAAAGAAAAAAAATATTGAACGAGTATAATATAATTCTTATAAAATAAAATTAGGGTTACTCTTTCTATAATTGTACTTATATTCGTATGTTCAAGACCAATATATCTTACTAGAAATGTTCAAGACCCGATAGTCCTTCTGAATCAATGTTAATTATGGTTAAATTTATTTGACAAATGAAATAGAGTGCTATATTTTAATATTAAAGGCTGTTTGACTCGATCGATTTGATGTTACATATATATATTTCAAGTCTTATAACTTATTTACTTATTTGAAGATATTTAAATGAAATTACTACCTTATAAATGACATACTATTTTAATATTAAAATAACGTTTAATAAATTATATAAATATGTAGACAAATATAAATATAAGAGGAATCAAGTTACTCAGTAATTTATTTTAAGAGTTACTTTGACCTTCAATCTAACAATTTTAGTGAGATACTCATTTTTATAGTATAAGAAAATGAATGATGAGGATTAGAAGTAACTCTAAAATTTAAAACATGTTTAGATACAAGCTTAAAAGAACTTGAAAACCTTCTTCAATAGAAAAAACTATTTCAGGAGAGAGAGAGAGAGAGAGAGAACCCCCATTTTGTCACATACGCTGTAGATGAGAATTTTACTTTATATAGCTCATTATTCAATTGTTTCGAAGTCATTGAATTCTTTTCCTTGTTAAATTGAGAATCCTACTCTACATACCAGTGATTACCTTGATGAGCAAGATATTGAAATAAGGCAAGTTGAGGGCAAGAAAAGAATGAAACACAGCCATCATGGACACATTGGTCTTCTACAAAGGAATAGATGACCTCACCCTCGTTTATAAGTAAAATATTCAGGTACATAAATGACATACATCAAACTAATTTTGACCGCATTAACAAGCTTCTCAATGTTTGAAAAAAAAACATTATATTGACAGATGGATGAATGCACAAAATTGTGAAAGTACAGCTTTGGCATAAAAAGGATGACCTGGAACTTCCAATGAAAGTATAAAATGCAATAACCGAGCACAACGGTACCTTTCCTTTCAGAGTCTAGAGTAGAGTGGATCATAACCCGGATGCAACGAGGAAAACCTCATGCATTCAATTTCTATAAAAGATACTCTGCAACTAGTACAAGCCTTTACCTGGTTATGGAATCACCCCATTCTGGGTGGCTGAAATCATCCATGCCTAATCATAATTCATATTATTCAATTTTGCATATATCAGATGATAGCCAACTGTTTCTGTAAACTCCATGAGAAGTAAGTTGCAAGGTAATCTATCCTCAAACATCATATGATTTAGAATTGTCCTTTAAATCAGATTAGCCAAGCAAGTCACTGAACAAGTTGGGGTTCTGACTTGTGGGTGTCACACCCATCTGCCTGACTTTTGCATCCCTTTGCAAAGAATCTTTAGCATTCGGACCCTTTACAGATTGTGGCAAAGGCGTCGTAGTTGTTTCTCCAGTAGTACCTCTGACAGCTGCATTTGACAACTCTGATAAAAGATTTACATTATCCCCAGTTACAGGGATAGAATAGCCACCACTGCCACTTTCTCTACTTGCAGGAGTCGCTGCATAGTGTGTCATAATATCTGGTGCATTTGTAACACCACTACTATGATTTGTTGTAGAATTAATGCTTGGGTCAAGAAGCCCTTCCAATTGCTTGAATGGGTCCACGGAGGGAGGTGCGACAGTGATAGTTGATTCATCCAAGTCAAGCAAATCTGGAGGAGGAGATGATTGAATAGTTTTCCCCTGAGCAACTTCACTGGGTGCCACTGCAGCTTTTGATTCCTGAGATCTGTCTGGAACACTAGCACTGGCCTTTGGAACCTTACTGCTAGTTGACGATCTTTTCTCAGTTTTAGTTGAACCACCAAACAATGAAGCAGCAAGCTTTTGCTTTTCAGGAGAAATTTCAATCCGTTGCTTCCTTGTGTCATAGTTATCACGTACTTTTGAATTTACAGCAGTTGCAACATCCGTCGTCTGTGTTGCCCCATTCACTGGGTTTTGGGAAGTAGAATTTGAGGATGATGTAGGGGATGAATAAGTTGGCCTGCCCCATTTCTTCTGAACACCGTCAAGCTTGAGCTTAAGCTCTGAGGATCCTGTCTCTGATGATAATCCCGCTGACGAGATCTGGTGAGTCTCCCTAGAATACAATGTCTCAGGCACTGGAACAAGGTCCGTTGATGATGAAAGTGAAACTGTAGCTACTTTTGATGGCATTGGAGGCTTTGGAACTTCATATGCCTCAAATCTCAGACCATGTTGAGCAGATTCATGTTGATCCTGGCTTCTGAAGTTGCTCACATTCACCATTCCAGTGCGCTCATCCTCTGGAATGTAAGGCAGAGCACCCCTTTCTAGAGACTGCTGTACATAACCATTGAGGAAAGCAAGATCCGTATCAACCTGCGTAGAAGATTCATCATGTCAATAATCTTAGATCAAAAACAAGGTTCATATGGTGATGACAAGCAAATTGTTCCAAAGCACATTATTACATATAGTGATAACCGAAGTGTATGTATACATTACATATAGTGTCAACAATTCGATGGAAAAAATGTTGTGTTGGAAACTGTTTCTACTCCTAGGAATTAATGTCTAGGATAGCTAAAAAGACAGATTCATGTATAGTGCTTATCATTATCCTGGGAGTTACATTTTCTAACTACTGCTCTTATTATAAATAAAGATGCTGCTTAGTGCTTATTCACTCGACCATTTCACCAAAATCTAGTCTTCAACTTGGCATCAGAGCAGGTTGAATCCCTGATGAGACCCCAAACTCAAAGAAGAAAATAGCACTATATGAAAAGGAATACGAGACTGAATTATATTAATATCAGAAAAGGAAATACAGAAGAAGTGTGATCTCCTCCTGCCCAGAGTGATGCTCCTAATAGAGTAACCCTCAAGGTTTTCTCTACCCTCTCACAAAAGCAAAATGATTACAGCATATGATACAATATGTATCTGAGGTACCTGCAATGGAAATAGAAAATAATAGAATAGAGAGGAAAGAAACCAGATTTCCAGAGAGCAAGGCTCTCCCAAGCAAGAGAGGAGTATCTCTCTGCTCCCAATATCACTAACCAATTTCCAAAAGGTATCCCATGATTATTACAAAGAGAATATATAACCAACCCTCACTTTCTAATAACAGAATCTGCAATTTCCAAAATACCCCTCCCAGCTAATAGTAGTCTCACTAACACTCAGTATTGGGTTTTATTCTTGGGCCTCCGACTATAGACTTGAATGGGTTTGCTCCACTTGGAGGAATGGTTTCTATCAGCATACCTCCCTCTCTCCAACTCGTGCTACTAAATAACTGAAAAGATCTCATTTTCTCTCTCTTCTAACTACCCTACCTCTGTGTTCTAATGTTTATTCTGCTCCTCCTCTCTTCTTCCTACGTGTATAGACCTTCCATTCCTAGGGAGCCCTATTGTCACAATGGGCCAAGCTGTCAAGAGGCCCACGAACATCTTGGACTCTATCAATGCCCCTTTCTTGAAGAACAATCTTGTCCTCGAGATTGAGCTCAGGAAGCTGACTACGAATAACTATCTCATCTTCCCATGCAGCTTCCTCAGTTGTCTTCCCTTTCCACTGCACTAGCCATTGATTCACTCTATCTCCTCCCTTCATTAAACTGCGAGAAGCCAGCACCAATTCAAGTTGCATTAACTCTGGACGATCATCTTCTAATCCCATTGGGAGCTCACTCTCAGCCTTATAATTCCCAATAGCCTTCTTCAATAAGGACGCATGAAATACCGGATGTATTTTAGATTCTGGAGGTAATTTCAGACGATAAGCCACTTCCCCAATCCTTTCCACTACTTCAAAAGGTCCATAATATCTAGCACTCAACTTAGGACTTATTCTTGCAACCACAGTGTGTTGTCTATGCTGCTTCAGCTTGAGAAAAACCATGTCACCTTGTTCAAAACTCCTCTCTATTTAGTGTTCATCCGCCTGCCTCTTCATCCTCTCCTGTGCTCTAACCAAATGTTCTTTCAATTGCCTCAAAGCTTCATCACAGTCTTGTAATTCTCTTAGGACAACTTCTACTCTTACTTCTCCTTGCACACTTTTTATTATCATGGGTGGTGGACGTCCATATACTGCCTCAAACGAAGTGGTTCCTGTGGTTACGTGAAACGTCGTATTGTACCAATACTCTGTCCAAGGCAACCATTGACTCCATCCTTTGGGTTGGTCAGTGATAAAACAACGTAAGTAGGTTTCTAAACAACGATTGACAATTTCAGTTTGTCCATCCGACTGGGGATGGTACGCCGTACTCATCCTTAGGGTGGTGCCTTGCATCCTAAAAAATTCATTCCAAAATAAACTCATAAACAGGGGATCCCTATCACTTACCACAGAATTGGGAATTCCATGCAACGTGACAACTTCCTTCACAAACACTTCTACAATTGTCCTAGCTGTGTAGGGATGCTTGAGGGGAATAAAGTGACTATACTTAGACAACCTGTCCACTACTACCAGTATAGCTTCGTACCCCTTGGATCGGGGTTATCCTGTGATGAAGTCAAGGGTAACATCTTCCCACATATGATTCGGCACTGGCAATGGCTACAGCAAACCTCCAGGAGCAGTAGTCAAGTATTTCTGCCTTTGACACACATCACATCCTTGCACAAATTTACAGATGTCTTCTTTCATCCCTTGCCAATATAAATTTGTTGCCATCCTTCTATAGGTCCTATAGAAACCCGAGTGTCCCCCTACTGGAGTTTCATGAAATTCCTTTAACAGTTTAGGAATCCACACAGATCTTCTCGAAAGCACCACCCTGCCTTTGAATAATAATACCCCATGGTCATATGTAAAATCAAGCTATGTCTTCCTCTCGTACTTCAAATCATCAATAACCTTTTTCCATTTATCCTCTGCATGAGTCTCAGTTATTAGCTCTTTGTAATCTAGCCAAATGGGTTGATATGTCATTGCCCTTAACTCCACTTCTCCCATACTACGAGAGAGAGCATCAGCTCCTTTGTTTTCCACCCCTGGTTTATATATTATATCAAAATTGTAACCAAGTAACTTTGCTAACCAGTTTTGTTGGCTTTCCGTAGTCACCCTCTGTTGCATTAGCTGTCTAAGACTCTTCTGATCAGAATACACCTTGAATTTCCTCCCAAGGAGGTATGGACACCAGTGCTGAATTGCCAATGCCACAACCATGAGTTCCTTCTCATAAGCAGACTTTGTCAAATTTTTCTCCCCCAATGCCTTGCTGAAATAGGCCACAGGTCTGCGTTCTTGCATTAGAATTGCTCCTATCCCCATTCCCGATGCATCGCATTCTAATTCAAACTCTTTCAAAATTAGGCAGCACCAGAACAGGTGCAGTGATGACCTTCTTTAATTCATCAAAAGCTCTTTGTGCTTCTTCATTCCATCCGAACCCATTCTTTTTTGTTAAATCAGTGAGAGGTCTTGCTACCTTCCCATAATCCCTTATGAATTTACGATAGTACCCTGTGAGACCAAGAAATCCTCTTACTCCTTTCACATTTCTCAGTACAGGCCATTCCATCACACTCCTAACCTTAGCAGGGTCTACGGACACTCCTTGAGCTGAGATAATGTGACCCAGATATTCAATTTTGCTTTGGCCAAAGTTACATTTTTCTTTATTTGCAAAAAGTTGGTGTTGTTTCAGAATTCCCAGCACTGCTCCTAATTGATTCAGATGTTCTTCCCAACCTTTACTGTAGACAAGGATGTCGTAAAAAAACCAGCACTCCCCTTTGTAACTTACGAAACACTTCATTCATTAGAGCTTGAAAAGTGGAGGGCGCGTTCATGAGTCCGAAGGGCATCACGAGGTATTCATAATGACCCTCATGAGTCCTAAATGCTATTTTGGGAATATCCTCTCTCCTCATGCGAACTTGATGATATCCCGATTTCAAATCCAGCTTAGAGAAGAAGTTGGCTCCATGCAATTCATCCAAAAGCTCTTCAATTACGGGTATTGGGAATTTATCCAGAATGGTGGCTTTGTTAAGTGCCCTATAATCCACACACATGCCATTGATTGTTCCTCTTCTTGACCAAAATCACAGGACTAGAATATTCACTCTGGCTATGTCTGATGTTCCCATTAGTCAACAATTCTCTCACTTGTTCGATTTCATTTTTCTGGTGGTAAGGATAATGATACGGTCTAACATTAATTGGTTCCTGACCAGCTTTGAGAATGATGGCATGCTCCTTAGCTCGTATCGGGGGTAAGCCCTTTGGTTCTACAAAAACATCTCCAAACCTTTTTAAAACCTCATTCAATGCCTCCTGTTGCTCTTGGTTCAGTTCTACTCATCCTATTTGTTCATCCTTCGGAATTGTTTCACTAAGGGACGCCAACAGCAGTTCTCCTCGCAACACACCCTCAAGCACCTTGGTCCCTTGTGGAGTCACAATTTTCATCTGTTTATTCCAATCCAAAACCATTTCACCTAAAGATACCAGCCAAGACATACCCAGAATCATGTCAATATCCCCTAATTCAAACAGAAATGCATCCACAGTAAATTCCCCAGCAGTTGTTTCCACCCTCAAACCACGGCACACTCCTGAAGTTTCTGATTTATGACCATCCCCCATCAAAATGTTCATACTCTTGGTAGGTTCCCACGACCAGCCCATTGCATCTACTAATTTCTTTGCAATAAAATTGTGGGTGACCCCACTATCCACCAAGACGAATAGCGGTATTCCTCGCACCTGACCGCGTAATTTCATTGTGTTCAACGGATGATTCCTTTCCTTTTCTAGCCCGTGCAAGCATATAGAACTGCATTCGCCTTCAAGTTCTGATTTGTCTTCTTCTTTCAGCTGTTCGACTTTATCGTCATCCCTTTCGCACTCGACTTGCAATTCGTCATCCACCAAAATGAGTCGCAACTGCTTTACTGGACATTGGTGTAATGGGCCATAAGGCCCACCACATTTGTAGCATAACCCACGTTGCCTCCTGTCTAGCAAGTCCTGGTATGCTATCCCTTTGCCCAATTTTATTTCTACCCACTCCTTCTAAACGTGAGTTTGGGCCTAGCCCATTGGTATCTCCCCCTGCACCAACATTTCGCGGACCAACCCGACCCGAAACGCTTGTTTGGGTTCTATAACCCAAATGGGATCCTCCTCCACGTGTTTCATTTCTTCCCTGCCATCCGTTGCTACGATTCGCCAACTCCATCTCGACAGCTCTTGCCGTATTCATCATTCGTCCCCTTGTCAAAGGATTTTCCACATGCAAACTCCACAAACATGACCTTATATCATCCCGTAATCCATGAATGAAGTATGCGAAATACTACTCGTCATGTAATTTAGGGATTTGAGCTACCAGAGATTCGAATTTCTGGATATACTCATCAACGCTTCCATTTTGACATATAGCAGTGAGTTGTTCAAACACACTTCCTTCTCCCAATCCTCCATAACAATCTAGTAGCTCCCGTTTCAAATCCTCCCACGACAGGTCTCCTTGGTCGTTCAACAGTGCGTTGAAAAAATGTATGGTTCCTCCCTCCATACATAGTTGGGCTAAGCTAACCTTCACCACCTCGCTAGTTTCTTGAACTCGAAAGTATATTTCCTCCCTCGTGATCCACCCGGCTGGGTCTTCTCCATTGAACATAGGGAGTTCAATCTTTTTCACTGATTGACAGAACTCCTCCAATGCTTCCTCTTCAAGTATCCTCGGTCGACCTCCTGAACCCTGGTGTTGACCAACCGAACCTTCACCTTCTTCCTGGAAGTGAACCTTCTCAAGGCTTCGAGACATCATCTCCATCATCTTTGTTTGTTGTTCTGATTGTTTTCGTAATAACTCCATCGTAGACTGGTGCTACGTAGCTTGTTTGCGGAGTTCTTCTATTGCCGTCACTACCCAACCCAGCTCACCCTCTACGTTTCCCAATCATGCCTCCATTGTCGCTGATTCTCCTTTTCCTCCTCTTCTCTTGGGTGGCATTCTCCGTTCAAGAGAATATCTGGCAGGTCGGACCAAATTGATGAGACCCCAAACTCAAAGAAGAAAATAGCACTAAATGAAAAGGAATACAGGACTGAATTATATTAATATCAGAAAAGGAAATACAGAAGAAGGGTGATCTCCTCCTGCCCAGAGCGATGCTCCTAATAGAGTAACCCTCAAGGTTTTCTCTACCCTCTCACAAAAGCAAAATGATTACAGCATACCTCCCTCTCTCCAACTCGTGCTACTAAATAACTGAAAAGATCTCATTTTCTCTCTCTTCTAACTATCCTGCCTCTGTGTTCTAATGTTTATTCTACTCCTCCTCTCTTCTTCCTACGTGTATAGACCTTCCATTCCTTGGGAGCCCTATTGTCATAATGGGCCAAGCTGTCAAGAGGCCCACGAACATCTTGGACTCTATCAATCCCACTTTGCTTATCTCCTCTTCCAGATAAGTTTCCTGCACATCTGCTACTTCCCATCACCGTTTGACATTGCACTGTTCATCTGAGGTGCATTTGCATATGGTCCAATGTTGTTGTGCATTCATGGTTACTGTTCATTCACAGCTCGTTATTGGTTGTTGTATCTGCTGCTTCCCATCATCATTTGACATTGCACTGTTCATTGGGTGGTACTGTTCATCTGAGGTGCATTCATGGTTACTGTTCATTCACAGCTCGTTATTGGTTGTTGTATCTCCTCTTATCAAGAGTCAGAATTATCTTTCTCAGATAACCAAAAAATATCAGCAGGTTATTTTGCCACTAGTGCCTCAATTACCCATATCTTTCAATATATTAATAGTCAAAATCCATGAATATTCTATTCAGATGCACCTGATCTTCACATTTCTTCTGTTGGTTCTTTATTCTCCTCCATGTCCTTTTAATTTAATCTATCTTTGTCAATTGACTCCCTCTAAATTGTTCAGCGATATTTGTTTTTAATTCTTTAGTCATACAAGAACGTGGTATGGGTCAAATAATTGGCTGAATACATGAATCTTAATGTCTCTACTATTTAGAATCAACTCCTATGTCATGCGTTGCTAGTGTTACATCTCTAAAGCTTTTTGTGATGGTCATCATGCAATTTTTAACTATGATGGTCACTATTAATAACAATGGTCATCATGCAGCTACAGCAACTAATTATGATAGGAGGTATGAAATATGAATAACTTGCAGTTACTCAAAAAACAACTTTGACTAAGACTTTGCATGGTGAAATATGTTCTTGACAACACATTATTCATGCAGTAAATACCAATAAAGTGAGCAAAGCATTATACATGAACACAGGGAAAATATTATAATTATAATACAAAACAACCAAGTGTTTTCCCACGCAGATGAAGTCAGCTACATTAATCAAATGTCACTTTTCTATCATAAACCATGTTTACAAGCAAACTACTAACCTTTAAACACTTCTTAATGGTTTCACCTACAGTTTTTCTCACTTTAAGTCTACCTATAGCAATTGGGATACCCTCCAGCCAATTTACTCTTCTAAACAAGTGTTTTTTTACAAAGAATACTAGTGTTCCTGTCACAATTTCCAGAACATGAGATCTCTCCCTAAAACCAGTTTTTCACTCTACACTGAATGCCCATTGTCTTCTCTCCCTATCTATTTATTTTGTCCATTCTAATAGAAGTATAACAAACAATTACTAACCTTAACTTCTCCAACTAACAGACAGAGCCAGCCCATAGGACTAACCTAACACATTCATTTCTAATTCAATCTTGTCTATTGTGCCAACTCATCCAAAGCAATGTTCTCATCTCTGCTACACTGATTTTACTCTCTTATTGACTTTTTATCAACCAATATTCATTGTCATTCAACTATGTAGGTTTTGTAGCTGTGCCGTAAAATTTAGCCTTACCTTTCTATATCACAATAAGACGTAACATTTCTCCCATTTCATTCATCCTAATTGAATCCTATGGTTTACATTCTCGTCTATTACTCTGTCATTTTGTATAATGGACACAGGGCACTTAAAACAATGTGACTTGACATATGGAATGATCTCCAATTTTCACTTCTTTTAAGAAACAAAAATTCATAATCTTATAATACAAGAATGTTAAAAATTTAACAATAACCTCAATGTCTTCACAACTTGCATCTTGGGGCATTATTGTTTCAACAGCTCGTGCATCCAAACCAATAAGAGCTTGCAACTCATATGCACGTTGCTGCAAATCAGTGGAGTGGGATGCTAATAATTCTTCAACAAAGGATTGACACTACATGTAGACAAGAAAAAAGTTACTCATCTTGGTAGGTATCATATCAGTCAAATTTCAGCATCACACTGTACTGTATATAGTAAAGAAAACAGGATTCTTTAGTTAAAAGGCACATGAAAAATGACATTAGATAATAATCATGTGTATAATCCAATGGGGAAACAAATATTTAATTATGGAGCAGTTAGTAGAGAATCTTATTGACAGAACTTTTCACAGAAAACAAGGTTCAAATTTATTAAAATATATAACTCAAGAAAGAAGCATTTCCAAGAAATGTATAAAGACACTTTAAAGTATCTTATTTTGCGTTGAAAACAGATTATAATCAAAATGCTAATAAGAGCATTTGAGGAAAAACAATTCTACCAAAAATAGTTAAAACCAAGCATTCTATTAATCTTCATATTTCTCGATGTAACTAATTTGTTAAATTATCAACCAAACAGAACTATGAAATTTCATGGATCAGAATAGCCATGTAAAATACAATAATTGTGCAGCTGTCAACACTTTAGCCACCAGAAGAATTCATAAAAAAACGCAATATCATTGGAGAGCAGTTCATTGTATGATAACAAAGATGGTTTACCACGGCATGCATCACAAAGCATAGACAAAGGTTAGATTGTGCTCAACATTTAAATATTCACTTTCATCACAGTAATGCCATGAACATGGAGAAATGCAGAACTTCAACCAAAAAATTTTCAGCAGTTACCTCAGGCAGCATATCAACTTTCCTCCCAGCTGCTATTTCAAATGCATACATTTTTGTTAATGCTGAAATCGCATATGCCTTCACATCGAGCAATAAGTTAGTCCCAATTCAAAATTGTACAAGCAGAAAAATTAAATAAATTGGTATATTAGAGAAGGACAGGGGTTATACATACAACTAACAAGATAAACATCCATAAATGAATGATATGGCAAACGTCATGCAGAAAATGTAACATCAGCATTCAGCAACCAAAACAAAAATGTAAAATATCAAGGATTGGTCACACTATAATGGGTTCCAAATTTGTAACATCTAATTCTAACACCAATTGCAACACCATTACACCCTTAACTCAAAAGAGAATACATACAATTTACAAATATGAAATGAGGTAAGAGGAAGGCTAGCAACACTGGTATTACTGGTTCATTCTCCAAATAGTCAATAACAGTGTGTTAAAAGGGTGTTTAAGAGTGTATTGCTAGCATTCCTTTCCTCAATATGGAATACCATTAAAACAATCAGGTTTTATTAAAAAGCATTATAATTTATTTGTTGTCACACATCCACCCCCATTTTGCACAGAAAAGGAACAACCGGGATACTCAAATGAGATCAATATAACAATGTACTCCATGCTAACCCAATTCAATCAGCAAAGGGATAATTCTTGTCCAAGCAAGTGTTTTTAAAGCCAAATAATTATACTAATTTACAAGCCAACTAGTAACACTGATCATATTGAGGACCTGGACAAGAAACATTTATGCTAACAAACAAATAATCTGAAGTAATTGATTCTTGAGAAGTGTGACAACTGCATGTGCAAAAGATTGAAAATCCTGACAAAAACTTCTAAATAAAACTGGAATGAAGCTTTTAGCCAGACCTGAATGGAAATTTAGAGAATGCCTCAAACAAAATTAGTCCAGTTATGCCTAATTTCAAATTGATAGCAAGTTAATTTGCTATTGATGTCAATGAAAGCAACACAAAATGGAAAGCAACTATCAAAATCAAAATCTCTCGAAAGGGTATTATTACTTTTCCTATCTCTCTTTATCTGTAAAAAGTTGGATTTCACTAATATAAAAAACAATATAATCGGGCATTAGATAAACACCTTCACAGTTTCATCATTTGAATAGGCCTCTGCAATGTCACATAACTTCCCAGTGATATAGGAAGCAGAATACTTTCCATCAGCTGTGCCATATTCCCCCAGAACCCAACAGATTACCTGTAATCAGTACTACGTATTATGCTAAAAGACAGATCTGACTTCTTGAAAAGTAAAACAAGTAGGGAAATATTAAACATAAGAAGGATATAAAGTACTTGAAGAAACATTGACGGAAGCTTTGGCTCCCCAATAATGCGCAAATATGACTCAACCTACATCTCAGAAAACAGATTCTATTCAGTAACGTGTGTATGCACATGACCAATCCTGCAGAGTACATATTAAATATACTGGTGCAATTATCAAAATAACATACAGCGGATGATCTCAACTGATTATCTGCAGTAGCAGCATCCTCTCCAAATCCTTCACCAATCAATCGCATTAAATTATGTGCCACCTTAATATTCACAAGATCTCCAGCATGCTCAAAAACTTTATTCATAGTCTGCATAATCAAATAACAAGGTATTATTGGCTATAAATGAATGTTTGTAAAAAATAACTAATGAAAATCATGAGTTACCTGTATAAACCAATGATTACTAGGAGCAAATTGCTCTGCAAGTTCAACACATCGAGATGCTATATAGGTTTTATAATGATCATCGCTTATGCTAATCATGTAATCAATCATTCTGTCAACAATAACTTCCACATTAGAGGACTTGGTCATTTTGTAGAGTAGTTCAAAAGTTTTTCGCTTCAGAGTATCATCAGGGTCCTGCACCATACAAATTGAATTTTAATGTAAACTGCAAAGTTTGGGATGAACATAAAAATTGAAATATCATTCCAAAAACTCACAAATGTGTGTCATTCTAAAATGCAAGTGAGATCAATTACTAGTTTCCAAAAGCTAGATACAATTTCAAATTTTCATAAACCAAATAAAACAAAATCTGGCTGATTTCACATACAGGTCGTGACTAAACACAACGTGGAACCATTAAACAGATTAAAATTTGGTAAGAATAGATAAACAGAAAGAGAGGGGCAACAGTTAAGGAATAAACACAAGGTGGATCAATTTAATAGATTAAAATTAGGATGATTCCCACAGTCAATCCCAGTAGAGACACATGACAAGCATTAGTGCATGATTGGAAAAGATTAATTTCCCAAAAATAACTTCTTATTTTCCAAAAGCTCTTTCAAAAGCTGGTAGAAATAAGCAATTATTCTCCAAATATAAGTCTAACCAAACAAGCACTTGATTTACTATCCAAGTTTGCTTCCAATTTTTCCCTAATGTATTTCTAAGATGTGACATTGGCATGTTTTTACAGTCTGACCACATCCTACCGATCCAGATAACATTAATTTATCCTCTTGCTGAATTTGTTACCATATACTTTATATTTTATAATGAATTTTTAAGGCAAGACACTAATGGCCAATGGTCTTCGATAATAACCTAAATAAAAAACCTCCAGACACTGAACAGAAACTGCAAAATAGTTAAGGGCGGGTGGGTATGTTTCAGCGAATATATGTTGATCAATTCCATAATTTGTTGATATGTAAGTTCAATATTTAAGCAAACATAGGATCATCGAGTTAAGGGTTAACATTACACATAACAATTCCAAATGCTTATTTCTTTCAGAGACTAAGGAACCATTAGTACAGAACTATACACATGACATCACATGTTCCAGCATTTTCATATTCTATATAAATTTCATCATAAGAAAATAGTTACTCGTCATCAACTTAACAGAGAAATATTTACTGTTCTTTTCCATATAAATGATAACATAAATTAAAAGAAAACAACCCTTCTAAATAATTAACATAAACGGGAACAAACAAACTAAGGTTTATAAGACCAAAATCGAAACCTGGCTACACAAAACCCATCCATCATAACTCCAAGCATTCAAGACAAAGATTCTCACCTCTAAGCAGTCAATAACAGCCAGTTGATGCTGTTCTGCAACATGTGGAGTTATCTTTATCAGCCGACCAAGTGCATCAATTCCCATGTACTTGAGATTATGACTGTCACTCTGCCCGCATACATCGACACACATGTAACACAACACAGCCCAATGCAATAATAAACAATCACAGCATACACAAACTTCAAACACAATTCACTTCCACAAACACAAAAAACAAACCTTCAAAAATTTCGCATTGACATCTGCAGCCGCTTCTAACAACTTATGATTGGGATATATGGAAGAGACACAGCATATGCACTCATAAAGAATAGCATTCCCTATATTACTTGACGAATCGCCCTTCCTAATTATTTCACCAATTACAGTATACATGTGCTCACTAGCCTGCTTGTCCCCACTCCCCAACACGGCGAGTATTTTCAGCAACTTAATCTGCACAGTTTCTCAAAAAAGAATCCAATTCAAAGAAGGGCTAAAAAATAAATTTGATGCAGCTTCCTAGGTGGTTTCGATGTTATTCTCCAATCAGAATTAGAATTCCACCTCAGCACTTTTGGTGTTGTTCTCCATTAAAAATTGGAATTTCACATTGGTGATATCTGATATGCTTTGATTGATATTTAAGCGGACTACCAAGGTATAACCAATTATGAAGACTAAACTACAATTTTGATCCCTTACTTTGTAGAAAATTGTCATAGTAGTCCTTAATATTCCAAAAATAGCAAACAAATCACCTTGGTGTTGTTCTCCATTAAAAATTGGAATTTCACCTTGGTGACATGCTTTGATTGATATTTAAGCAGACTACCGAGGTATAACCAATTCTGAAGACTAAACTACCATTTTGATCCCTTACTTTGTAGAAAACTGTCATAGTAGTCCTTAGCATTCAAAAAATAGCAAACAAATCCCCTACTTTCATTATTGTCTCTAACTTTCATAAGCTACTGTCATTTTAATCCTTTACATATATACATACTTCCCATCATTATAGTCATTATAGTCCTTAACTTTTACAATTTACTACCATCTAGATCACAACAAGGAGTCTGGTTGGATACAAGCTAGAAATACTTTTCAGAGCTTCTTTGCTAGAAATAAAGAGTATTTTCTAGTAAAGAAGATTTCAATATCCCTTCTAAGTTGTATCCAAACAGACTTAAAGACCAAAATGACTAATGAAATGAAAAATGGGGGATTTATTTGCTACATTTTGAATGTTGGGGATTAACATAGCGCCTTACAAAGTGAAGGACCAAATTAGAAGTATACTTAACACCACCAATAGCACATGCACGCTCACAAAAACCGATTTTTTTTTGTTTTATTATGAGTAAGAATTACAAAGACAACAACAAAGTTGGCAAAATCGAAATGGGACCTGAATGAACGGCGCGGGCATCTGGTGATAGTCATAGCTCTTAGGCAAGCGGTGTTCGGCGACTTGTTTAAGAATGCTGACGAAGCTAACGACAAGGTCCTTATAAGAGCTGGGATCAAGCGCGATGAGGTCGAACAAAGGGCACAAAGTGGCGCCCATGACGCCGGGGTCGTTATCGCACAACTTCTTGCGGAAGTTCGAAACCAAATGCGAAACGGAGGAAGAGGACTTGAGGTGGAAGCGGTGGAGCGCCATGACGGCCTTCTTCCTAACGGCGTCCTTGGGGTGGGCGAGAAGGTCAACGACGGAAGGCAGAACGGCGGGGATGGTCTCCTCGTTGATGAGCCTGCAAACGGCGTTGAGCGCGGCGCAAACGACGAGGTAGTTGTCGGACTTGAGGTCCTTCTGGATGGTGTTGACGATAAGGATGATGAGGTCGTGGTCGTCGTTGAGGAAGAGGGTGAGGGCCAAGTAGCCGGG